CAAGCCTCTTCCCACCCAACTTAAACCGAATTCTGTTTGGTATTTGAGTTCCATCACATCCTCCTATACAGCTAAGGGACGAAATATACTTGTGACATGTACCTGATCCTTTGCGGGTTTACTCGGAGGTCACACACACACCCCATACACAAAATAAATCACAGCTTGATATAATCCGGTGGCAACTTTGCATGGGCGTTTAGCGTGACTTTATTTAATTTTAATGGAGCTCTCTTAAACCCATTCGCCTTTGGGAGGTGACTTTTTGGAGCCCAGCCACATCGGACAGTTTGTGTGGTGCTTTGAAGCCGACAAAAAGCGAGTGGGGGTGGGGGTCCTGGACTCCTTCCGCTTTTTACGTTCGCCAAGACAAAGAGTAGAAGAGTTCCTAAAATCCACATTCTCGGCCATTCCTGCTCTGCGGGTGCTCCTCCATCCCGCTTATAGATGAAATTGATTCAAACGACACCGCAAGTATTTAGCTACAGAGAGTGAAACGGGGGTCGGGATTTTGTGGTTAGTGGTGGGTGATTTTTGCTGTTCTTTGGCTGCTCCTGTTGCGTGAGGCTCCTCAGTCCTTGTGCAGACCAAGCCTCTCATGCTCTCCACTTTACACGGCAGGGCAACACGGAAGCTTTTCCGAACCCTAAACCATGGGGGTAGCTAGGGGGCGGGGGGGGAGCTCCCCCCAAACTAGAAAATGAATAAAAATAAGTAACTGACCAATCTCGTGGCACATAACTCTGTTCTCTCCCCCCCCCCCCATAAATTCGTGGCTACTCCCATGCCCGAAACCTGAAGTTTTAAAACAATTCGACGGTTAAAATCGCAGCCTGAGTTTCTGGAGTGCGGGGAAACAGCAGACGACTCATTCAGGCTGGGTCCTACACATACTTACCTAGAACTTAGTCAAGCCTATTTACGGTATTTGCTTACTCCCAAATGCGCGCTGTGCTGAAATATCGCCGCTTCTCTGCCCGTTTACTCGGAAGTAAAGTCCTACTAGACTCAGCGTTGCGCGAGGATACGACTTACTCCCAAGTAAATGCGTGTGGGATTGCTCCATGGAACTAAGTGGGACTTACTTCCAAGTAAACAGGCACAGGAGCGGCTTGCAAAATCGCTTTCGGCTTAACGGTTTAGGGATCGGGAGATGTAAGCGTCTCTCGTCGCTTGTGTCCCGATTGGAAGTTAAGCCCCACTGATTAATGTGGAAGAGGATCTCGCCCTACCCAAACCTGGGCCGTGGCTTCTTTGGGAAAACTTTGTGGCATGAGGCGGGGAGAGCCCGTTGATCCAGTGACGCGTCTTGAATGCTTTCCCCCTAGGCAGATCGTGGCGATAGAATCGTGGGTTGGGTTTGATGAATGGGGCGCGTTGTCTCCACACTGGCAGCCTTTAGCAGCTCGGCGCATTTTAATCAACCCAGTGGATTTGCACACGCACACAACCCGGCATCTCTGCACTTGGAAGATCCAATTTGGAGAAGTCCCTTTGGCGAATGGATCCCTGGGATCCGCCGCATGAGAAGTTCAGCACTCTCGCTTTCCTCTCTTCTCCGCTGCCCCCGAAAGCACCGCGTTACATTTTGGAAGGGAAATTACCCGTCACTTGCCCTCAACCCTCCAGTGCCTCCCAGCTGCAGATTCAAAAGATGGGGGGGGGGTGCTCATTTAAAAATTGAAATGTTGAGAAGAATTCTCCCATACTGAGGTCTCACCAGACTGTCGCTTTTTAAGCACTTCGGAGTCTCTGTGGTGCCATCCACAGTCTACATACTCCGAAGCCGGTTCGGCTAAGATCGATAGGCGTGCTCCAAAACTGCTCTGAATTATCTAGACAGATCCAGATTCAAATTATATCGTTTAACGAACCGATTTCAAAGGCTATAGATTTTTTCAAGAGAAAGCATTAAAATCTACTGCTTGAAAGTTCTGCCAAATAAGAATATTTGGTTGTCACTGTGTGTATTCCATCACACACATACACATTCTGATGGTAATTAATCATAGCTATGCACACTACCCCGAGAATAAGTAAAAAGTATGGCTAACGTCCGAGTAACTATTCAGAGGATTGGGCTCCACGTGAATTTAACATGGAGGAGGATGACAATACAGAGATGCATGCAGATGCATCGTTTCTAGCAGAGGCAAATAAGGAAAGAAATGCGCATGAGTTTGGCGGGCGTGAGCTGCCATCCCGGGAGGTGTCTGACGAAAAGGTAGAACTGGATGGAGTCCAGAGGATGGAATCCTCGCTCCCGCAAAGGGGAAAACGCCTGTGGGCTTTTATGAGAAAGAACTGCAGTCCGATGGTGTAGCATTCTGCAAAAATTAGTCATGACTAATTCCCATCGAATGCAATAAGATGGGATCTATTCACGCCAAAGCTACTCGGATGAGATCTCTGTGGCAATTCTGCTGATTCAGACGTCAAGTCCCTTTGAGTTTGGTGGGTTTTACTTCCTCTTCTGCGTGTGCTTTAGGATCGCAGCCCTAAGTGAGCATCTTTGGCTGAATTGTGCCCAAGACTCGTAATGTTTTGCTTATACCGTCTTTAGCAAAGATATTCCTTTCAAAGTTCGTTACGAGGCATATCATGACGTGTGAATCAGAATCAAGAATCACACGCATATTTCCTACTAATTAACCATTTCATTTGTGCTTTGTATCAGTAATATCTTGAGAATATATGAACGAATGCATTATGAAGGATTAGGGGAAAGTAGGAAGTCGTCCCCCCTTCCATTAATTGCCGCTTAATCTATGTCAAACCCATGGATTTCAAAGGAAATGTGATCACACACACACACACACACACACACACACACACACCCTTGTTCTTCAGGCTGTTTCCTTCTTCTCCCGGGAGAGATTCTATCTCTCCGCCGCCCCCGCTTGTTTATTTATGTCCTCTCCACGTTGAAACAGCGCAATTCTGCAATGCATCAAATAAGGGACTTTTCTGCTGAAAAAGACGACCAATGAGGTCCCATCCTGGCTTTACATATTTTAATGAGAAAATATTATTTGGACGGCTAGTTTCATAATTTAACGTAGAGACTTTAAAAAATAAAAAACCCAAACAATTGTCCGAAAACAGGCATGCTGGGAGGGAAACAGGAACATTAATATTTTAAATATCATGCTCGGTTCTGTACAGGAATTAAACAAAAACAAAAACCCAACAACGACACATGGCCCGATCCAGCGGGAAGTTCTCTTGCAAAAGCCCCATTGAAATTGCGGGTGCGCAAGAAGAGAGCACACCCGTGAGCACTTTTTCTTTCCCCCGCTGCTCTCGCGCATGCTTCCTTCTTTGCAGCGCAACTTCCTGCCAGATCGGGCCATCGGGTTCTTAACAGCTTCGCATGGGCGTTTCTGCATCTCGTTTTGCTTTTCGCCTTTTAACTTAAGCGGTTCAAAAACGGACGGATTCCAGCAAACTACCTACAGCTAGGAAAGGGTTACATCGAACGAAAGTGCATTTTACACAGTTGGTACTCATTCCTATTCACAGACATGTACAGTTTATCCCTCCTAGTTCCCCCTCCCCTCCTCAGTTTTTCTCAGTAGTTCCGACAGAAAAGAAGGGTATTTTTAATGGGCGTTCCTCTTAGGCCTCTCAGTTGCCACGTTTAAAACCAAAACTGGAAGTCTGAATCTCATTTGGTACTGGGTCTGGTTTCCCTCGTTAAAAACATAATCCATGACTAAAAAAAAATATCCTCGAAACAATCAAAAGATTAGAAAATCACTCCCCTTCTCAACTCGGAAAGTAAACTTTCACATTATAAGAGTTATAGAAAACGGGCCAGGGTATGGGGGTTCAGGGTGGCGTTTAAACGACTTCGTAAACATAACGGACCCGATCCAGCCAAAGTTATGCACTTCAGTAAACAGCGCAATCCTATGGGAGTTTCCTCCGAAGTACGTCTCGCTGTAGTCAGCAGAGCCTGTACGTACGTGCGGATAGGATCGCAGCTAAATTAGCTTTTAGTTTGTGTGTATATTCCCCAAAGAAAAGTTAACAGCAGCCGGATCCAAAGTCATGTTTAATCGGAGATAAATCTCACAGGGTTGAAAAAGTATTTACTCCCGAAAACCTCAGGCCTAAGGCTGCAATCTTCTGCAGATTTACCTGGGAGTAAGTCTCATTTGGAAACGTACACAGAATTGCTCTGAAAATGTCCCATTAAAATAAATGGGACTTTTTTTTTTTAAGCAGTTGACTTTGGTTCGATCGGGCATCCTCTTGGACATCCTTCTCTTCCTCGGGGCCTGTCCCCCACCTTTGCCGGAGCACAATTTTTGCGTGAAAGGCCGGGGTTGGGATGGGGGTGTCTTTAAAAAAAGCCTTAAATGGAAAGCAAGGGCACGGGGTTTGGACGTTTCAGAGAGAGCGAGAGAGCGACCCTTTCAGTGCATGGCGTCACCCTGCCCAAAGAACTTTTTAAAAGTTGGACAACAAACCTTGTGGAGAAGTCTCCAAAGTGAAACCAATTTGTGGGGGAAAGTGGGGGAGGGGGAGGGGGAGAGGGAAGAAGCATCTGTGATAGCTGTGGATTTTTATCTCCTTTCTTCCCCAAGAGAAATCCTGCCCGGGTTGTGGGGTGGGGGGAGGATGGACGAGAGACAGAAATGAACAAACAAGTTTGATTTTGCCTTTCTCCAGCGTGGGCCTGCAATTGCGTTGAGACGCACCGAGTTCTTCTGGAAGCCGAGTGCCCAGGAGTGGGAGGGAGATGGTAAAGTCTTTTTCTTTTTTGCAGGGGGGGAGCGGTATTTGAACCCAAAGCACGCACCGCTCAGTCCCTTCCGACGAATAAATATAGCAGGCGGGTGGACCAGGAAATTTGAGGAGGGTCAAAATAAAGGAAAACGTCGTCGACTTGGGGGTTTGACGGGTGGGATGAGGGGTTTTCCTTTCCTGCTGTCTCCCCCACTCCGCCAGCCAGCCAAACAGCCAGCGCCCCCTCCCTCCCTCAGGCCCGGGTGTCAGTGGACGGCGACCACAGCGTGGAGGGCGGAGGGCGGGCTGGTCAGGGTCTCGCTGGGGGTGGCGGGGCTGCTTTGGCTGGTGGCCGTCTGCGAGGACGTGGGACTGAGTGAAGGCGGCGAGTTCGAGAGGATGGTGGGGATGGGCGCGGGCAAGGCGGGCAAGGCGGGCACTGCGGCGGCCGGCGTGGGCTTGATGGGCACCGGGATGGCCGGCAAAGTCTGCCCGGCGCCGTGGCACAGCGGCTTGAGGGGGACCCCGTAGGCGGCGCTGTAATCGCCGCTGGCCATGGAGATGGGGGTCGCCGTCTCGAGCATGCCGGAGCCGTACACGTGGGGCCAGCCGGTGCCCACCGTCGTCAGCTGGTTGGGGAGCGGGTAGGCGCCGGGCATGGGCTGCATGGTGGAGAAGGCCAGCCCGCCAGGCATCTTGTACTCGCGGGCGATGATGTTTTCGATGGCGAAGGGGTGCTTGAAGCCCGACGGCTGGGAGACGCCCAGGTTGTAGGGGGGCATCTGGGGCAGGTGGGAGCCGCCGGCGGCCAGGGCGCTGAGGCGCAGCTTGGCTTGCTGCTGGAGGTACTGGGCGGCTTCCGAGGGTTTGGAGGGCGCCAGCGGGTCGGACTTGAGGACCTTGAAGCGCTTGCGGCGCCGCAGGAAGCTGCCGTTCTCGAACATGTCCCCGCAGCTGGGGTGCAGCGCCCAGAAGCTGCCTTTGCCCGGCTGGTCCGGCCGTCGAGGGATCTTGATGAAGCAGTCGTTGAAGGAGAGGTTGTGGCGCAGCGAGTTCTGCCAGCGCTGCGTGTTCTCCCGGTAGTAAGGGAAGCGGTCCATGATGAACTTGTAGATCTCGCTCAGCGGCAGCATCTTCTCCGGGGAGCTCTGGATGGCCATGGCCGTCAGCGAGATGTACGAGTAAGGAGGCTTCTGGTCACTGTACGTGTTGCGGCCCGGCCGAGGCATGGTGGCGGCGGCGGCTCGGAAGAGATCTGCAGAGGCGGGGGGGATGATTGAGGAGAGGGGCGGTAAGAGAGCTCGCGTTAAGCAAATAGATCTCTATATCTATAGCGGGGTGGGGCAGAAAGTAGTTTACAGGTGAAACCGGGGATTTTCTAGGCTTCCGTCTCCCTGCTTTTCGCGGCGAGAGCCTGAAGGAGTGAGCAGGTCTGCTGGGGTAATATCTGAGAAAAGTCCCCCCCCCACATGCACACAAGGGAACGGGAGGGGGGCTTCACCTCCAACTCGAGAAGTTATACTGACAGACCAAAACCACCGCCCCTCCTCAGAAACTGTAGCTCTGGGCATTAGGAGTGATCCATCCCTCATTTTCCACCAAAATAAATACATCATTGTTGTTGATAATAATCGGTTTCACGGCGTTTTCCCCGTGCTTGCCCTGTAGGAATTCTTACAAAGCGATCCTCCTTTATTTTTTTTTAAAAAAACAAAGAAACCCTCCATTACTCGTGAGTAAACGCTGAGGAGTTCAAAGGGACTTGCTTCCTCGCCACTGTTGGAGAGACGGGCTCCCTCCTCCGCCGACCATTATAGCGATGGTTTCAAAGTACAAAAAGTTATTCCGATACGCCCCCACCCAGCCCCCATGAAAGCGTAAACTCCCTTCCAGAGTCCACCACTCACTCACTCACTCACTCACTCACAAACACCATCACACCATCCGGTCCGCAACTCATAAAAGTTCATCCCCCTCCCCCTGCCGTCAAGTACGAGGGACGCAACGGGACAGCAACCCACGCGGGAGCGGGGGGACATTTCTTCCTAGTTTCCCTCCCCGTCTCCAAACTTCCTCCTCGGCGGAGCCTCTGACCCGCGCAGCTGAAGAGCCATCCGAGAGGAGCAAGAGCTCCTCCGCTCGCCCCCTCCAACATCTCCGGCTCACCTTAACGCTGCCTCCAGCCGAGAGTCCGCATCCGGGGCCCGCTCCTCCCCGACGCCTGCCCGCTGCTGTCCCCCGGACCGGCTCGCTGATTCCCTGGGCTCCGACGGAGGGGCTGAGGGGAAACCTGGAGGTCCTGTCCCCGCGCAAGCCGGCGTAGAGCGGGGCTGGTCCGGCTGTGCGCAGCCCCGGAGGAGAGATCGAGGCGAGCCGATCGAGGGCTGGCCAGGCGCTCCTCCTCGGCGGGCTCAGCAGCCCGAGCTAAGTAGCTGCTGCTGCTGCCGCCGCCGCTTCCTCCATCTCCTGCCTCCCAATCATCTGCTGGTTGCATGCGGCGACTGGAGCAGAAAAGACCCCTGTCGGGGCGCTTCATTAGCGTGCCACTTCTTCTCTATCATATGACAATCGCCTTGGGAGGAGGAAGGAGGGGAGGGAGGAGGGAGGATGAAGGAGAAGCCAGGAGGAGGAGGATGGGGGGAGGAGGGGGGAGAGAGAGGCGCAAGAGGGCTGGCGGAAAGGCATAATCTGGTTCCATTGACACCTATTTACACGGACACCTTGGGCCAATGGGAAGCAGTGCCATCGGAAGCCAAAGCGCAGCCGCCGGAATGGAAAAGGGGTGAGGACCGCAGCCCGGGAAGGATGTGTGCGAGGGAGACGCAGAGAGGGGTGGGGGAGAGGGGGGCGCGAGCAACCGTGCGAGTCAGCCAGCCCGGGTTGTGTGCATGCGGAGTCTCTGGGCGCAGGGACTTGGCGGGGCGCTTCGCCCGCAATTCACACTTACAAATGAAGCAACTGAGAGGCTGGAGGGGGAGAGAGGGGGGGCGGATGGGGAAGCCAGAGGAGGGATGTTTGACGTGGCAATTGCTTGCCTGGCCTATTCTGCTTGTTCGACATTGTTCCCTGATTTGTATTGTTAGCTAGCTTCAGGCTGGGCCCCCTGTCCCGTCCCGCGCCGCCCCCCCCCCGCCCCCCGTTCCCGGCGAGGGCTCCCCTTCCCCCTCCCTCCCCCCCAGCTGGAAAGGCCTTTCTCTCGCCCAAATCCGAGCCAGCTCTTGTCTTGGCGTTTCTAAGGACTCTTTTTAAGAAAAGGGGAAACTCTCTTGTGTTGTGTGCGCGCTCGGAGTTTGGCGGCGTTTGGGTCTGTTTGTTTTCGAAACGCAGTCGCTTTCCACCCCTGTCTTTCCGTGGTGGAATAAATCACGCTCTGGGTTGGGGGATGAGTTATTTATTTAAGGGCGGATTTATTTATTTGCTTGGGAGACGGTCCAGCCACATGTTAAGCCACTTTGAAGTCCCCCCCACCCCCGGTGGATTGCCAGGGAGGAGGGAGACCTTAAGCACATGCACGCTGCCGAAATCGGGCCGGAGAGTGGGGAGAGAGAGACTTAGAAGTGTTCGGATCCCTCCCGTGTTTTGTTTTATTATTTGAGGGGTTGGGAATGTTCTCTCTTTTTTTTTTCTTTTTTGGAATCTTCCTCGCTAAGAAAGGCCAACTTTTCATCCCCAGTGAGAGACCCATCACTTTTAAAAGCAGCGAAGATCTCCCTCGCTGCTTGCTTTCTTCCTTCTTTCTGGCAATTTGCCCTCTAAGGAGGCATGAGGAGCGGAGAGAGATAGGAGATCGCCTATCTCTGCTGCTGCTTCTTCTTCAAATTAATGTGGGTGCCTGCTAAACAGTTAAGGAGGTTTCAGGTAGGCTCGGGAATTGCATGTGCACGATCCTACCTAATCAAAGTACTTGTTGCAGTGGATTAGATTTTAGGCCATTTCACCATTTCACTGAAATTGAGGGAACTTGAAAAGTGGCTGGATCGTGAGTTATGTGCATGCACGCATGAATGAATAAGCTTACGATCCTATGAAAAACGGATCCGCTGAATTGGTCTACCTTCCCTAACTGGCATTTCTTGTTTACGTGTAAAGAAGACACTCGGGTATGTTTAGAGCGCGTCTATAACAACAAACTATTTAACAGCGCGATCCTGTGTATGGGATTTACTCCTAGGTAAGTATAGATCTTAGTACATAAAGTCTCAATTGTATTGTTGGGACTAGGATCGGGACGTTATTTCACCTGTTCCGTGCGATCCATTAGCAGGTTAAGCTGAAGTATCTAGATATCAACAGATTTTTGTCGCGATCAAAAATGTATTACATTCAGTAGGCACCCCAGGTAAAGTAAGTGCTGTTGATTCTCGTGAAACTTCCCACAAGCGTAATTAGGCTTAGATCCTTTCGCACGTTCCTTCTTTATTGTGTACACCAGGATCGTAACGCGTGGGGAATACACGTGAGTCCTCTGAGACTCGGGATTGTCCTCGACTCCGTTAAATGGTTGTGGCAAACCTGGTTTCGTAGTTGAGTAACGTGTGAAAGGACAACCTACATGTACACTCCGTCTCAACCGAGTTGTGGAGCTCTCCAGCGTCTCCACGACATCCGCCAACGCTCTGGTCCTCGCCGGGGGAGGGGGAGGATCAAAAGGATCGCTGAAATCTAAATAAAGACTTTCCACTCTTGAGGAGGTGACCTACTTCTGTATTCCCGTGTAAATCACTTACACACCTCTTGTGTGACGCGGCGAAAGTGACAGGTGAGCAGTTCAACACGTAGAGCAACGGGTTTAAAAGTCGTGCGAAAGCGATATTCTAAAAAGAGATTGCAGAACAAAAACAAAAAACCCACCGTCACCCCAAATCCTCCCCTCTAACGCAGCTGCAGACTTCGGAAAAGGCGAACGCGCCACGCTTGGAAGGGATGCTTGAGAAAGGACTAAGGCAGCGCCCAGCATGGAACATAAACATGCCCTGGGGTTGGGATCTGGGGGCATCCGACTTCCAGAGGACAGCGCCGTCGTCGCTCTCTTACATGCCCGCCTTCCTTTAGCGCCAAAGTTCTCCGACACATTCCATTAACAGCGAACCAAACGTCCGGCTGGAAAAGGGCAAGTAAAATGACGAGAGTGCGGAGTTACCTCTCTTATCAACAAAACCCAGAACCCTTCCTCTTCGCGAAATATGCCCCCAGTATAATTAAGAAACAGTTTGTAATACTCTTAGGCAGATTTTATTCTTACAACGAGCCTATAGAGTAGGCCAGTAATATCTTCAGCATAGGAAGACGAACAGGGCCTTTTTGTTTTTTTTAACTCAGGGAAACCAGGCGCACAAAGAGCACCGACGGGGCCGGCATGAAACTTAGTAAACGGTCAAACGAAGTGGCAGCGATCAGCTGAAATCATTCTTAAAAATTTTCTTTGGTGATCCAGGTTTCAAAAATATACATATTTTAAAAAACATGTGGGAGGCAATAGAGGTTTAAGACACGCCAAAGGAGGTATAGGTCTTTCCCCTAACTCATAATGATCCGGTGGAACGCCTTGCCACTTGACAGTTCCATCGGCATCCACGCAAATTTAAGACGAGGCAAAAATGGGCGGGGGTCAGGGTTGCTGTCATAAATGCAGCTTTTTGGAATTCCTCATCCTGTAGGATGCGAGCCAGAGAGATCAGCAGCTGAGACCTAATTAGGAAACCCTGAAGCTGGTACCACGTAGCTGCTGGTTCGCTATTCTAGAAGGAAGATCCGGACCGAAACGACGCCGAGCGGGTTCAACGTGACAATTCCAGGCTGTCCCTTCGCCTCTGTCTCGCTCCAAGCCTAGACGCAGTTCTCTGGGAGTGAGCATCATCAGGAACACGCCCCTGCACACTCTCCACACCACACTGTGTTATTTTTATTTTATTTCTAAATGACATTGAGTTTTTTGAAAAGAAAAGGAAAGAAAAAAGAAAAGAAAAGAGAGTGGATCGCTTATTATAAACTTCTCTCTCTCTCTCTCTCTCTCTCTCTCACACACACACACACACACACCACATTAACTGCATTTTCGTTGCTGGTCAATAACTCACCAAAACGTAACTTAAACACGACGAATTTAGGAGATTAAACAATTTCATTAATATTGAAATGGCGGCGGAGCCGGAGCGCGGCCGCTTGAGATGCACACGCACGTTTTTCAATATTAACAGAAGTACTTGAAGAGAAGAATAATGTCACCTTC